GGGGGGGGGGGGGGGTGCCTTGGGGCTCTGCTCAGCCGCGCGTGGTTTTCCAAGGGACTCGGCTGTGCCCCCGTTTCGCCATCGTTAGCCCACAAATGAAATGGCTTTGTGAGTCTGGCTGCTGATGGACCCGTCTGCTGGGGGTGCCAGGGGATGTGGGGGAGGCCTGGGGGGAGGGAAATCTGCCCCTCCTGCATGTGGAGCAGAGGCTAAAGCAAAAGCGGAGAGAAGAAAAAAGCCTCATTAAAGTGGCAGCGTGCCCAGGAGCTGCTGCTTGCTTCGCTCCTAGTGACGCTAACGTGGTGGCAGGGGGTCCCTGTGTGTCCCCAAGTGTCCCCTGGTGTCACTGGTGTGCTGCTGAACCCCCACCTGCCCCACGCTGCCGGGGGCTGCCCCTTCCAGGTGTTACCTACTTTGCATATTTATTTCCTGAGCATTTCTTAGCTGTGTCAGTTAGAGTTGGAGTGCCCAGTTCTTAGGAGCCTTCCACACCTCTCATTTCTCTTTGTGCCAAAGTTACATCTATAACTTTTATTATATTACCACGTAACAAAGCCGGTTTATTTTTTTGCTTCTTTTCTAACTGAAAAAAATTCTAGCAAAACAAGCAGTCATTCTGCCTTGCCTTGCTATGCCTTCCCTTGGCCTGCCATGCCTTGCTGTGCCTTGCCATGCCATGCTGTGCCATGCCTTGCCATGTCTTGTGTTGCCTTTCCTTGCCTTGCCTTGCCGTGCTATGACATGCCATGCTGTGCCTTGCTTTACTATGCCTTCCCTTGCCATGCCATGCCATGTCTTGCCTTGCCTTGCCATGTTTTCCTCTCCCAGAAAAGTTTGCCCTAAATGTCACAGCTGCTCCAGTGCCAACATCCAGTTCCCTTGTGCCAGGCAAACGCCTGAACCATAAATTTTCCCGGCTTGAATGTCAGCAAGAGACAAGCAGAACCCTCAGTGGTGTCCTGGGTGACAGCAGGGCCCTGGGTGACAGCAGGGCTCTGGGTGACAGCAGGGTCCTGGGTGACAGCAGGGCTCTGGGTGACAGCAGGGCCCTGGGTGACAGCAGGGCTCTGGGTGACAGCAGGGCTCTGGGTGACAGCAGGGTCCTGGGTGACAGCAGGGCTCTGGGTGACAGCAGGGCCCTGGGTGACAGCAGGGCCCTGGGTGCTGTAGGACCGTGCTGCTCTGGGAGTTGAACCATGGCTCGGGCAGGGTGATGCCCCGGACAAGGACTAGTTTTTGCTTCAGGTGGGGAGACGTCGGGGGCTGCTGTCCCCCCTCGGGAGGGAGCAGCCTGGGCGCGCGGCAGGTGAATCCCTCCCCAGCCCTGGCTCTGGCTCCCAGCCGCCCGTGGGCGCAGGACCAGCCCGCCTGCCCTTTGGGCTCCGCTCTCCGAATTCCTCTCTGCAGTAGGTCATTCTGGCTCGCCCTGGTGCCCTCATATTTTGGGGTTACTGGCCACATTTTCTGTGGTTGCTTGGTTTTCTGGGGATTGCTTTAGAAATGATCTTGCCATACTTTCTGGTTTTGCAGCTTCATGCCTTTCCAGCTCTCCTCTCTCGCTTGAATGACTTACGTATTTTTCCAGGATACTTCATCCCAAAATAATACCTAAATTTACATAGTGTCTCCTACCCAGCAACCCCGGACCTGCACAGGGTCAACCCCTCCATCCACTGGAGCTGCAAGAGGGAGGAGGGATCACGGGTGGTGGAGTGGTGCTGAGGATGGGAAAATACAAGTGGATGCTGATGGCTGGGAAGGGTGGGCACTGATTTTTCTGCTGAATCTCTTTCTAAAGCTTTTTTAACGTGGGCTGAGAGAGGTGGCTTTGGCAGGCTGAGGTGTCAGAGCTGAGCAGGGCCCCCAGATGGAGTTGGAGCTTCCTCTGCCCGCTCCGATCGCCCTGAAGCAGAATAAAGATACTGTCAGGAGAGGGAGCTTGGATTTTAGCCTGGGGCCAGGGCTGCCACGGGCCGCTGGAGCCTCCCGAAGCCCCTCATGTCTGCTCTGTCCCCCTCCTGCTATCTGCCGCCTTCCCCATGAAAGGCATTTGTGCAATTTTGTGGTTGTGGCCTGGGTTGCCGTCCAGCAAAGGAGCCGTACGGCGGGGCAGGGAAACCGAAGCCAAGGGAGGATTAAAGTGCAAAGTCAGACAGAACAAGCCAACACCCCAAAGCGCTAATTCCCTGAGCTATTCGAAAGGGTTGGCTTCCAACAGGAAGATAATACCAAATACGAGCAGCAGGAATGTGTCTTGGATGCAGGAATGTGCGGACGGTGCTCGGGGCCTCCCTCTGCCCGGGGATGCTCAGCCTGCGACGCTCCGGCTTTACTAAACTTGAGCGGCTGATGCCCTTCAGCCCTGCTGAACCCCAGCACCTCGGGCTCAGGGTTACCCAGCTGCTGACGGGGGTTTTGTAGGAGCTGGGGACTCCTCGGCAGAGGTTTTCCCAAAAGACCCCCCCCGTCCGGCCGTGCTGCCCCCGCGGAGCTGAGCAGCGAGAGCTCAGCGTCTCTTCGGGTGGACCCCACGGGGTGTGGGTGTCTGCTCCCAGCTGGCCCCACTCCCAGCCGTGGGAAGAGCTGGGGGAGCTGCTGGGTGACCGGGTGACCCCAGGTCCTGCCCCTTGCCTGGCCCCACTGCGTGGTGACCACCCCCCAGCCCCACGCATACTAGCCCGCACACATGTGCCTCAGTTTTTTTTGCACGCTCGCTCTCCCCAAGCACGAGCTCACTCCCGCTTTTGCTCAGAGACTTTTATTTTGCTGCTCACACATTCTCCATCCTTCCGCTGACCCCAAGCTCTAGGGAGGGGGGGGACGCCCCCCAGCCCCCCATCCCACGGGGAGCAGTGTCAGGGTCAGGCAGCGTGGCTGCTCGCAGGACGTGGCTGCTCGCACGCTGCCACGAGGGCTCGTGGTGCTGCCACGTGGCACCGGGTTCCGGCTGCCTTGGGTGCAATTAGCCCGATGGCTTTGGGGTGCCCGTTGGGGCGGGTTGAGCTGCCTCAGATGTTGTGTCCCACTGGTTCACCTGCTCCCTCCTGTTGCCCCCAGCCGTGGGCTCTCAGCGGCAGAAGGATGGTGGCTCTTCCGTTCGGGGTGGGCCACTTTTTTTGGCAGCCCTTGGAGCCTTCCTGCAGCCACCCACACCTTGGGACGGCCCCTGGGTGGCTCAGGGAAGACTCTGCTTAGCAAAGTAGGCCCGTGGTGAGCCCACGAGTGCTCTGGGCAAAGCACCCCATCCCCTGGGCCACCCCTTTACCCCTGCCATGACTACTCTGCCTCCCTCTCCATTGCCTGGTACTTGGCACCCCCCTCCACTCCGGGGACACCCCCAAAGTACCTGGTGAATATTGCTCTTGGGACGGGCCCCAGGTGACCAGTGGGGAGCTGGAGGCCAAGAAGTTGGTGATGCAGAAGGCTTTTAGCTCTCCCACCCATACCCGGAACGCAGAGCCAGTGTAACAGCGCTGCTTGCAGCACTCTCCTGACATTTCCTCTCTTTCTGCCTTTATTTCACTCGTGCACCCCCCCCATACAAGCCGGGCAGCCTTCCTCTGCCTTGGGCTTGCCGGCGTGGCCATCACCTCCGTCATATCAGCTTGTTCCTGGGTTTCCCTCTCTGTGACAACATGTCCCAGCTTTTTTGGCATCTGCCATTTGGCATCTCGCTTGTCACTGATGGTCATTAAAAGAGGAGGACTGCAGGACACGGTGTGGCCCCCCGGCACGTCTCTGCCCTCAGCTCCATTTCTGGGCAGCCCAGAGCCGAGCTCTGCAGCTCGAGGCCATCTCTGGTTTCTGACGGAAAGCCCTGGAGATGCAAGCGTCCCTCCCACCCTGAAAACCCCATTCCCTCCCATCCTCCTCCAAAAATCAGCTGAGGGAAACCTTTGGCTGACAGAGAACTTCGGCTTTTCCATGCCAGGCTGGAACTTCTTGCCTGTTTCTGCTGGTACTTACGCTCCAACGCTGGCTCTGCACCAAGCGTGATTGAACCACAGTTCCCCAGGCAGGAGGAGAGCAAGGACGTGACTTAAACCAGGGGGGTGACAGCCAGGGTGGGCACGTGGTGCCATTGGGATTGGGCCAGGGTGGAGCACCCCGGTGCTACAGCTTAGTTCCCCTAAATACCAACTGGCTGCACCAAGCGTGGGGGGCCTGGTGGGAAAAGCTGCAGAGGAGCCCTGCAGAGCGGTGGGATGCCACTGGGAGGAGGAGGAGGAGGATGCCTCTGTCCCTTGATGCTCCTACACCCACGGCACATGGCTGCTACCTTGCACCATGTGCTGTGCATGGCCCCGCGGCAGGACCCGGCACCCGGGAACCCCGTGGGGAGAGGGCAAAGGGAGGAGGTCGTGGGGGCACCCCAAAGGGTAAATCAGTCCTGAGCAAGGGTCCCTGCCCGTCCTGGCTCCTCCACTCGCCCTTCCCCAGGCTGGCAGCGGGGGCAGGTCGGGGTTGGGGGTCTGGCAGTTGGCCGGGCAGAAAGGTCATAAAAATAACTGAGGAGCTATTCAGGTCCTGCGGGAGGGGGGCGAGGAAGGGAAGGCAGTGCTGGAGGTTGCCTCGCAAACCCTCAGCACGACCTCGGTGCCGCAAACACAGTGCAGACCCCGGGCTTCCTCCACAGACGATGTCACGTAATTGTGATTCCTGCCTGGAAAGGCCACGAGGGCTCTGCAGACCACCTGAGCTCCTGGCACGTTTTTGGGACTGGGCAGATCCGGGCTCTGGAAACTCCATCCTGGACCAGATTTTTTTTTTTCTTTTTTCCTTCTTTCTTTTCTTTTCTTTTTTTTTTTTTTTTCTTTAAACACCCCTTCTGTCTCTCCCTAGTATTCAATAATTGAAAAATATTTAAAGACCAGATTTACACCCACCAGGAAGTTACCTTTATGCTCCTTTTCCTGCAACTAAACATTTTGAGGTGAATGTGGCAGTGAGGAGGTGATAAAAGGCCACTCTCACAGGTGAACACAAGAAGAGGGAAAAGTGATGGCCAAGGTCGGCCAAGGCTCCCCCCGAGCAATGAATGGGGCATTTGGCTGCGTTTGACACCATCCCTACCACTGTTCACAAACTTTATACTCCATTCATTTTGCTCGCAAAGGGACTTTGTGAAATTACTTTACTAACTACTGCTCCAAGAATGGAGAACTTTGTGGAGAGGTGTTTTCCATGCTGGTGAGGTGCTGGGAGGCAGGAGGGGATGTGTCGGTGGCTCTTGGGCTGCTTCTGTTGTCATGTCCCGTTCCCTCTGGCATCCCCTCTACCCTCCTGGGGCAGAAGAGCCCGAGGGTCCCTCCGTGGGCTGCCAGGAGGCACTGGGAGCCCCAGGTGCTCCTGGACACCCAGGGGGATGATACCCAGAGGACCCCACCCCATGGGGAGCCCTGCCTGTGGAGGGGGTGCCGGCATGACCGACCTTCCCTTGCTTTCTCTTACAGGGGGGAGTGACAGATGACAAGAGCGATGATGGCAAATCCGTCTCCACCCTCAGTTTTGGTGTCAACAGACCCACCATTTCGTGCATATTTGACTGTAAGGCCCCGAGGATTGGGGGGGAAGGTGAAATTCCCCTGTGGTGAGAGCTGGCTCGGGGTCTCTGCTGTGGGGGCCCCATAGCCAAGCATTGCCTGTCCTCTTCCTCTCACCCCTCTTGAGTGCAGATGGACGGAAAGGGGGGTTTGGGCAAGGATGGGGCATGGCTCGTCCCCCTGGGAATGTTGACATGCTCAGGGTCGGTGCTCTCTTGGGAAGCCACAGGAAGGATGAAGCCAAGCTGCCTTCAGACACGAGCCTGGGGCTGGTTAAAACTCCTCGTGCTCTCCACTCATCCCAGGACTCTTCTCTTGACAGTTTCTCATTTTCTCTCCAGGTGGGAACAGATACCACCTCCGCTGCTACATGTACCAGGCGCGGGATCTGATCGCCATGGATAAGGACAGCTTCTCAGGTGAGCCCAGATGCTCACATCCGCTTGTTTGTGCTTGTAATTACTGCTGTAACGAATGCTGGGGAGTAGTGGGGTCTGTAAAGCAAATTTTGGGGTATTTATTGATGTGAAATGAAGAGTGTCTGGCAGCCAAACAACGAAAGACAGCAGCACGAGGGTTTCCCAAGGCAACCAGCCTGGTAGCTTGATTTCCCATCAGCAAAAAAAAGCGGAGTTTCAAGAACTGTTATGTGAGAAACCAACCAGAAACCACAAGTTACCCAGGTCAGCCGTGAGTCAGAGATGTTTGCTTTGCTAATAGCTCCTTCTCCCCGACGGACCGAGGTGAAGCTGGAAGCCGGTGGCAAGGCTGGGTAACAGACTGCTCAGGGGCATGACAAATCAAACCAGAGCGGAGGGCAGGGATGTTTACTGTGGCACATCACCTCGAGCCCCCGCTCTGTGCAGTGCCAGCTGGGGGGTTGCAGGGAGGATGGAGGGCTCTGGGCTGCTGTCGAGACGGTGGAACACGGGGCAGAAACCTCCACGAGATGTGCTCAGAAAAAAATAAAAAAGTGTGCAAGGGTGTAATTAGGACCTGGGAGCAGACAGGCACCTTCTTCTCTGGCTTCCTCATGAAGTTTCTGGTCAGATTTCTGTGCCCTCAGCATCCAGCTTGCTCCCAGCTGGTTGGGTCCTGGCCAGTCTCTTGCCCACCCTTGCAGGGCAGGGGGGCAGCAGGTCTCCTGGGCATGGGGTTTGTGGAGGGAATTTGTCCTATGGTTTGGGGAAGGGATCAGGGCTGGAGACCCCCATTTATTAGGAATGAAAGAATTGATTGAAAATATGGTTGGAAAGGAAAATAACCTAACAGCGGCAAATCTGTAAAACGGTTCGTATTTGTTTTCACGACCGAACATTAAATTTAGCTGCTGCTCCTCCGCTCTCCATCCTGGAAACTTTGCAAGGGGGCTGGGAGGCAATGGCTGGGGGGTTTCCTTGATGGAACCGATGCCTGAACCGGGCATCCTTCAGACTGGAGTGCAAAAAAAAATGCCCCTTCATGGAAAAAAGTGTCGTCCCAGGTGGAGAAAAGGGTGTCCTGGGCTTTGAGCAAGAAGCTTTCTGTGTCCTGCTGCACTTCTGAAACTGCCGGGCTTGAGCTGCTGTGGTCGGGATGTTCTGTGCTGAGCTCATGTTTTCTGGGTTAGGAAATCAAGTCAGAATAAGATACGGCACTTTATCTGTTGGGCAGCTCTTTGTCTTCTGGTGCTGAAGGGTGCTTGGGTGTAGGTGGTTTGGTTTTAGAATTGCTCCGTTTGCAGCGTGGCTGTGGAGGTGGGAGGATGTGCCAGGAGGGGTCCTTCGTGTTTGACCTGAGCAGGGACCAGCCTGGAGGGTCCCACATCCTCTTCCTCATGGCTGGGCCATGCCAGGCAGGTGGTCCCATGGCTCTTTGATGATTGTGTCAAGAGCTGCCTTTGCCCACACCCGCTAATGCTTTGGAGGGTCGTCTGGAGGTGGGAAAGCAGGATGGGGTGGGATGTGGCTCTCTACCTCCAAGTCAGAGCCTGAGTGGGGGAAATGCAAAAAGTCCCCCGTCAGTTCATCGCTCTGTGGTGGGGGTCACACCTGAGATGTGAGCAGGTCCCGGGGCAGGTATCCCCGGAGCACCCCCACCCCTCTGCAGTGATGCCCGCAGGCAGGAGGCACCCAACATCCCTCCAAGGCTGTCACTGCCCATATGCCCAGGGATCTGCAGAGGGGCTGGGTGCGGGCATGCCCACCAGTGTGGGCACGGGGGTGACAGATCTCGGATGGGATCCAGGGACAGCCCTGCAGTGGGGAGCAGCCTGCGGGGACAGCTGGGCATCACCCATCATCAGCCAGGCAGCAGGGCCACAGTCCCAAGGGGCTCCTGCTTCCCCCAGTATTCTGAAGTAGAGGGGCTTGATGGGGGGTTGGCAGAAATGTCCCGCAGAGGTGCAGAGCACCCAAACAATCACCCAGTGTCTGCGCCCACTGAGGTCCCGTCTCCCCTCCACCTCCACAAAGGGTTTGTTGTTCGAAGTGGTGGGGACCGAGGTGATCTCATGGCCCCGATCGGCGGAGTGGGGAGGGGAGTCCCTTCCTTCGGAAAAACCCGGCCAAGGACAACATGAGTAACAACATGCCACAATGTGGAATTGTGATCTCCGCTGCCTTAACAAAGCATAAAGGAGTTCATTAAGGGGGCTTTACACAGTTATAAAAATAAACCTTCTGTGCACACGAGGGTCTAAACAAAGGGGCTTTATAGAGGCCTCCTTTAAAAAGAAGAAGGGGGGGGGGGAAAAAAAAGAGAGCAAAAAAGCAAATCCAAATCCATGGTTTTTTTGTTTATTGTAACGCATTCTGCTTTCCTCTTACTGGAAAAAAGCGCGTAAGTGGAAAAGGTTCTTCCCAGTGTGAATAGTGCTCTCTCCAGCCGGCCACCTCGCAAACAGCCCCGGCTCATTAAACACGTCTGCTGAGGTCCGGACGCCAAGAAAGAAAATACACACCCACCCTTGGGCCCCCCCATCCCTGGAAGAGGGGAGGGAGGGTGGGGGACGCCGCCCTGCCCAGCCAACCCTGCCTTCAGGTGTCTGGGGGATGCTCCTCCGTCTCCAGGGTGGGCAGGACATGTTTTGCTCCCAGCATGAGCTCACAGTCTCAGGCCAGTGCTGGTGTGGGGGTGTTGGCGTTGTTTTGCAGGGTGGGGGGAACCTCCTGGCACTGGAGGGGGTCGCACAGCAGTGGGTTGCATTTGTAGGGTCTGTCTGTAAGCCAGTGGCAAGTGGCTTTGGGGTGAGCCGGGCGGTACCCCCGGGTGCTGCTGGATCCCCACACGCTGTCTGGTGTCTCTGTGTCTTGTGGTGACACGTCGTGCCGGGTGCTGGGTGGGGGACGTAACCTCTGTCCTCCCAAAAGGCCCGTGGTGCCTCCTGCCACCATGGAGGTTGGGCTCTGCAGGCAGCCAGAGCTCCGGGTACACCCGGGACCACTCCGGTGGGATGCGGTGGCCACGGGGGGCTCGTCCCTGGCAAGGCCCCGTGGGTGCTGTCAGGTTCTGGAGGGTGTTCAGTCTCCACGGGGTCTTGCAGTGTCATCCCCTGGCATGTTCCAAACCTCTCACCCAGCCCTTGGTCCTGGTTCTGCCCCCACCCGTCCTGTCCCTGTGCCCAGTGCCACGGCAGGCTGGATTCCACCGCAGGTTTGGGCCACACGCTCTTTGAAGCTGTCTGGAGGGGAAGGTGTTAGAGGGCTCAGCTTTCATGTTTTTATGGTTAATTGTTCCCAGGCTTCCTGTGTTAATTGCTTTGGTTGTTAAGGGAGGCTACTCCTCGCTCCTAGCCTCTACCTCACCTTGAGAAAACTCTGGCTTTGTCCCAGATTAGGGGTAAGACCCCTTGGTCCCAGCTCAGTGCCTAAATACAGGGTCTGCCGAGACCCTGGAGTACCTGACGTCTGTGTGGGGTTGGCGGAGGTGGTGCAGCAGCCCCCAGGGAGACCCAGAGGCATCTGGTGTGGCCGCTGGGGACTGGGTGGGCTAACCCCGAGCGCTGGGAACCCCAAACCCTTCCCAAGACATGGATGTTCCAAAAGCTCGCGCAAGGGGGATGCGAGGATGACTCCGGCCAGATGCTGGCTGCATCCTCAGCTCCTGTCCCTTCTGGAGATGTTAAAGACCCCAGGAAGGAGGCAGTAACACCCCAGCCACCTTCTTCATGGTCCGGTCTTCACAGCAAGGGGGGATCTGAAATCACTGCGCACCCACATGTGCAGTGCCGGTCCCTCCTGCATCGCCCCAGGAAAGTCTGGGTGCATCATGGAAAGGGTCTGTGCTCTCTGCTGAGCTGGGAGATGTCTGTGTTATCACGACGGAAACGCTCACCCTTTTGGGAGAAAACCCCACACCTTAGGGCAAGAGGTGAACCGTTTGTCTGGTGGACAGGGTGAGGAGTCATGAGGACAACCTGGACCAGGATGGATCAAGTCAGACAGCGATGAAATGTCTGATGTTACAGCAGTGCAGTGCTGGGAGATGTGGCCAGGGAAGGTCACGGTGTCTGCACCAGCTGGAGCTATCGCAAGCCAGAGGTTGCTCGAGTTAACATGGTCTCATGTAACCTCGAAAGGTTTTTAGCAAAAAAATCCTTCATCAGAGGTTTTTAAGGAAAGGAGGCTGCTGTGGGATAAGGAGGAAGGTCTCTGCATAGACAGACAGCTAAGCTCTGTGGGCTGCCGTGGCTGTCTTGTCCCGAAAAGGGTGGAACGAGCAGGGATCTGGGTTGGACCTTTGTGAGGAATAACTCCCATAGGCCGAGAGACTCCAGCTTGAAAAAGATGTTTTAGGGTTGGCGTGATAGAAACCTGCAGAACCCTTGGTGTCAGTGAGGTGGGCGGGGTGGACTGCTCCTCCTCTCCTAATGCAAGCGCTGGGGAGTCTCAGAGGCAGAGGGAGCTGGGTACTGCAAAAACCCGTGAGAAGATGGTTCTTCAGGTGGCTTTGAGTCCTCACTGGAGGATGTGGTGGGTTCAAGAGAGCCAGGGCAAGTCACTGGAAGACAACTGGGGTAAGTGTGGGAGAGCTTGGCCTCATTCCCTTCTCCGCTGGAGTTGCTGGGATCCGGGTGGGAATGTCAGTGCTGTTCCTAAGAGACCCAGAGCTCCTTCAGCCTGCCCACAGCCTTCCCTGCACAGCCCGCTGGCCCTTGAACCACTGTGAATTTCTTTCTCCTTCCAAGACCCGCAGCTCTAATTCATCCTTTGCCTCTTGTCTAACATCCCTTGCAGATCCTTATGCCATTGTCTCCTTCCTCCACCAAAGCCAGAAGACGGTGGTGATCAAGAACACCTTGAACCCCACCTGGGACCAGACACTCATCTTCTACGAGATAGAGATCTTTGGGGACCCCCAGAACGTATCTGACTCCCCTCCCAGCATCGTGGTGGAAATCTATGACCATGACACCTACGTGAGTCAGCACAGCACGAGCTGGGCCTTCGTGGGGTGGGCGGGACGAGCAGATGGCATCGCTCCTGCCTTCTGGAGTGCAATGCTGTAGCATCTCGGGGTGGCTCAGACGTCGAGCTGGGCACTCAGAAGATACAAATTCAGCAGACAGCTCTGCTGTGACGTCCTTGGTGGCCCCGCTCTACTTGTCAAAGCCGCATCTACATCACTTTCTGCGGAGTGGCCGCATTAACTGTCTTTCCTTGTGGAAAAAGCTTGGGACAAGGTTTAAAGCGGTCGCACAAGTAGGGGAACACCCACTGTTGTTTGCTGAGCTGCCCAAAGGTGCCCAAAGGTAGTGATGGCACCTGTGGGGGCTGGTGAGAGAACCTCGAGTCCCTCCTAGGAAAACCGGGCTGTAGCTTGTCCCAAGAGCAAGTAAGAGCAGTGTGTGAGTGAGAAGCATGTAGAATACGTCTCAGGAGCTTCTTGTGCACTTTCTGCCCTCCCTCCTCCAACAGACACCATCGGGAAGCAGCAGAGGCGACTGAAGACCCCATGGCAGAGCAGTAAATGGGCTTTTTAAGAGCTGCTGATACTTAATGCTGTGCTTGGATCTCCTGCTCTGGAAATTGTGTGATACCGTAGGGATTCCACCTCCTGTTTAAGCCAAAACACATACGAAAGAGCGTATTTCTAGTTCTGGTAGTTACAGGGAGGAGTTGGAAAGCTTGAGTCTATATGGGCATCAAAACCATCTTTTTTTCTGAACTGGTGCCATAATGGTTCAGACATTGAGCCTGATTTCTGAGTGACGGGGTCTCAGATGGGATGTGGGTGCGTGGTGACGGACTCCACCGGGAAGTGGGGTGGGAGGAAAGCTCCCCGTGCCTGTGATTGCCTTCCAGGGCGCGGATGAGTTCATGGGGCGCTGCATTTGCAAGCCCAGCCTGGCACGCTCGCCGCGGCTCTCCTGGCACCCGGTCATCAAGGCGAACAGAAACGTCGGGGAGCTGCTGGCTGCCTTCGAGTTGATTCAGAGGGAGAAGGTGAGCTGCCTGTCCTGTCTCTAATTGCTGGCTTCTTCCCTTGGAGCCTCTCAGCACCCGGCAGGATCCAACCTCTGCTCAGTGCTGAGCTGTGCCCGCCTGGGCTCAGCACCTCTGCGGCTGCCTGGCCTCTGTTTCCCGAGGACGGCTGCTCCGGGCAGACCTGGCTTCGATGCTGGGTGCTGCTGCACCCTTGCCACGTGATGGGAGGCTTCAGCAAGGCCAAGGGAAAAGGGCTTGGGGCCAGCCCAGCTTGGGCTGCTGGGTACCAGCTCGGGAGGCACCACTCACCCTGCCAGCCTGGCCGGCTGTGGTGCTGAGCTCCAAGCCTCAGCATCTTTGCACTGTGGGAAGAGCCTGGTGCATTTGGCCCCAGATCACTGCCCTTTGCTCCGAGTTAGACTCCGGAGGGGGTTTATGAGAGCCAAAGCAGGCGGTTACTCCCGCAGCAAGCTGCAGTGCTCAGTGCTGGCCATTCGTGTAAGGAGCCACGGGGGCAGGAGGCTGTGCTTTGAGCCAGCCCGGGCAGGAGAGACTCATCATGCCCCAGCGTGCTCCCCTGTACTTTCCCACCATCGCTCTCCCCCTGCATGCACCACCCCCTCGCCTCTCTCATCTCTGGCTTTTCCACTGGCCGAGGTGCCCGGCTGCAGCCCAGATGTGCCTCAGTTCCAGGGAAAGTGGATGGACTGGGAGGCTGAATCTCCCTGCCCCATCCCTCCCTCCCAGCCCCGAGGTGCTAATTGGGAACGAGGGTCCTGCAGCTCCCTCCTCCCTCTCCGATGTGGGTCCCAGCTCTGGTCCCGGAGGGTGCTGTGCCCCGCTGCTGCAGCTGCCGGGGTGGGAGCGGGGGGTGCAAACCTGCTGCACCAGCAAGGGCTGCTGGGTGGGGGCCAGGAGACGTCTCTGCTCTCGGGATGGGGGAGTGAGCCGCTGCGCAGCCTCTTCTTCCTCCTCACCTTGCTCAGATGTTACTGAACCGGGTGGGGAAGATCTTGGAGAGGGAAGTTCTCTCCAAGGACCCTGTTTGGTTCTCGCAGAAAGCAGCCACATGGATTTGAGGCTCTGCTCGTGCCTCCTTGTTGGGAGGAGAGCCCTGCACTCGTGCCCAGGCTTTGTGGAGCCCAGCACTGGGGCTGATGTTTCTCTACCAGATAAAGCTGAGTTGGCACCAGAAGTGCAAATGCAAAGGGTGTGTTTTTTTTTTTCTCCGCAGCCAGCTGTCCATCACATCCCTGGCTTCGAGGTAATGCCATGACCCTGTTCGCAGCTCCTAGGCCCTGTGTCCCTCAAACCATCCCCTCTGTACCCCTATAGAGCTGTGGGGTCCCAGCACCGTCAGCTGCTCTTGCAGAGATTTGCAGTGGATTCTGTCTGCAGCCCTGCTTCTGCAGGCAGTGTGTCCATCCTGTTATTTTAGGGTGAAGGAATCCCCATGTAGAGATGCCAGTTTCCTTCAGTGGGTGGCAAAGAGCGCTGGAGGGAGTGGGGCAGCTCACTTTTGACCTCTAAAACAGGGCAGATGTGCCCCATTTCAGATATAATTCCTCAGATGTCAAACACACCGTAACCCTCCTGCCCTGCGATAATTTCAGCGTTCCCACTGCGAGGGGCTGTGCTTCCCAAGGCCTCCAGCACATTTCCTTCCCTACAACCTGACTTAGCAAGGCCATTAACTGATGCTGGATTTTAAATGGTTTTAAGCCACCTGCATTGATTTCTTCTCAAGCCTGGGGGTGGTGGTGTGCAGGAACGTGGAAAGCATCCTTGGATGCCTTAGGATGGGTTTATGGATGAGAATGGCTCTGACTCTACTTCCCTTCTCTCCTCCAGAGTGAGCTGTCCTCCAGTCTGGATGAGGTGAGTCTGTAAGATTTAGTTGTCTCTTCATCTTGGAAATTGTTAAAATCGTGCCTCTGGGGGGCAGCCACTTCTTTTCGGATGAGTCAAGCCAATAACATCAGGATTTCAGTAACATGAGAGATCACCAGCAGGACAGGGGAGATGGGCTCCGTGCTTAACCCAGCAGGTGTTCCCGATGACAGGGCATGTCGGGTAACGTTTAACCTTTGTGGGATGTGCGTGCATGAGGTCTACCGGTGTTCAACCCTTCCAAACAAAGCATGCCAAAACCGAAATGCTGGGCTGATCTTTGGCTGGACCTCAGCTGAAATCCCAGTTGAAAAGTTTGCAGCTTTTCGTGGGGAATTCGCTGTGAGCCGGGGCACGTGCTGGGCTGTTCCAGTAGCTCTGAGGGAAATAAATAATCTCATCGGGATCCCAAGCTGCTGCTTGGGCAACGTGTCAGAGTTGCTATCCAGACCTTGTGTGTCCTACAGGGCAGATCACAGGCTGAACCAAAGCGGGGCCAGGGCTGGCTGGTGTCTTGGACAACACGAGGCAGGGAGGGGAACAAGGGGCACATCTGCCTGAGTGTTGTGGTGGCCCTGGGAGCCACTTAACCCCAAACCCGGGGAGATGAGCGAGGAGGGACCTGGGGCATGCAAAGACCCTGGTCACATTTCCATGAAAGGTTGGATGGGATTTCTTCCACCCAAGCAGCCTTTCCTGATGGTGTGGGGCTCATCTTTGTGCTCAGCTCGTGCTGAGCTGGAGCAGCTTGTGTAAACATAACCATCTCTCTGCTCTTTCTCCTCCATTTCTTGGCACTGCCATTTCTGGATGGGGCACTCCACAGCTCTGCACCCCTGCCTTGTTCTACGAGGGGCTCCTCCAATGGGTACCTTTTATGATCAAACACTTGACTCTCCTCTTCTCCTCTGCCTTTGCCAACCAAGCAAAGTCCCAACAGAGACGCAGAGAGACCAGCTCCTTCAGACATGGCCTGGCCTGACCCACCTGCCCTGCAGGAGCCCCCCCCAGACCAACCCCCCGAGGCTGCATCCGAGGGGGTGATGCCAGCCCAAGGCCTCCAGTGCCCTTGGCAGGAGATAACAGGTTTATGGTGAACCTGGCTCACATGTGCATCGTTCAGGCTCATGATGCACCTGAACGACCAGGCTGGCCCCAGACCTCCTGCTGCTGCATTTCTCTTTGGTGCAAATGGGAGTAGCCTTCTGGGGCCAGACCCCCTCCAGGCACTGGGGTTTAAGCCCCTCTCGAAACAACGTGGCCCAGCTGCTCCCTCAGACTGGGAGGTGTTTCCAGCCACTGCTTTGACTGGGCTGATCGGTGCTGATTTTCACTCATCTCTTTTCCAACCCCGTATCAAAGTCAGGGTTGGACTAGACGATCTCCAGAGCTCCCTTCCACCCCGATTCCCTCTGACTTGCCCTTGTTCAAACGTCCCAGCTGCCAGCAGACCCCACAGGTCTTGTCACGGATGTCTCCTCCATCCCGCCTGCTGTGTCTGGGTTGAGAGCTGTGTCTGGGAATTGCTTGTCCTCCGCTACCACCCCCATCCCTCCCTTGCTTCTGCCTCATCCCCAGGACTCACTGCTCATTTCTGTCCCATCTGGTGAAACGTTTAATGCTTGTACACTCAGCTGAGACCCAGGAGAATGACTGCAAAACAACAGGGATTGAGAAGGTCTTAGAAATGGCTAGTGCTCACTGAAGACGTGGCAGTGTTAGAAGCCAAGCATGCACTCTTGGCTTTCAAAGCCGCTTTTGAACCTGGAGAGGAAGAGGGGCAGGCAGGAGCTCTTGGAGAGGATGGGGGGCAGGCAGGAGCTCTTGGAGAGGATGGAGGGTGGGCAGGAGCTCTTTCCTCAAGGCTTTCCCCTTTTCCCACACAGATTTGTCAGAAGACAGAAGGATTGAAATGATCTTTAGTCCAATGACAATAGATAAATGCAACACATGATATTTGCATTGGTGAAGATTTAGGTGTCCTGTTAGGGGAAAAACTTCCCATTTTGGGAACAGACTGTGCAGCCATCTCACAGGGACTGTGTGGAGTTTGAGCCTGCCTTAGGGTTTGGAGATGGGCTAGGTGACTTGTAAATTGCATAATCTCTATAAACTAAGTTGTATAATCTTTATTATGCAACTTAAATGCAATTTAAGCACATTTAAGGCTGGAAATGAACATATGTCACTGTACAAGGACAGACTGAGGCTCTTCTTGGTTCGGTCCATGCTTGGTGTTCCCTAAGTGTTGAGGGTCACAAAGAAAAGCTCTTCAAGGGCCATTTGGTCTGTTCCTCTACCCCAAGGGAGGACCAGCTCGTGCTGACGGTGCAGTGTCTGAGCAGCCTGATGTTAAGGCTCTGGCTCTGGAGGTGTGTTACCAGAAGTGCTGAGCACCCAAGCCATGCTGGGGATGCTCTGCTCCTTTCTCTTCTCCTGAGGCATCCCCCCCCCCCAAATAACCTTCCCTTTCCCTGCTGGCACTAACCACTTCTGCGAGCATGTGGTTCATGGGAGGGAGGACTGCCTGCCCCAGATTTACCGGCTGCCCCATGAGGGAAACCCGACATCTGCCCCAAAATGAAGTTACCGAAAGTCTTCAGCTAACAAGCAGCTTGATTCGCCAGCCACCAGCAATTGCCAATGAAAATTAAAGCTTAGCGTCTAGTATAGCTAACATGCCACCGTGAAAAATCCCTTTGTAGGGCATTTATATACGTACATATATAAACCTGAACCAATCCTATAATTGGAATACATATACACACTTAATTTAATGCAATAATACTCCAGCCTGAAAAGAATGCTGGTCTCCTAAATTGGTTCCAACTGCCCTTGGATGAGGGTTGCATTTTTAGAGGTTTTGCTTTCATTCCTGCCTTTTTGGTGACTGTGAACTCGAAGGTGCAGGTCAGGAAGAACCCGAATGCTGGGAGGGCTCAAAGCCCGTCCTCTGCGAGCGGCTGGGGAGGCCTGGCTCCCTGATTTCCTCCTCTGTGAAGGCAAATTTTGAACCCCTCACCTGCCACCCAGATTTGTTCTTGCCCCGAAGGAAATGTTCTGTGTGCACTGTGCATGGACGCCTTTATCTGAGCCCTGTGCTGGGGCTGGTGGCTCGGCGGCTGCTGGTTATGGTTTATGGAGCTATAAGCAGCCCTAAGTAGGAACAACAGCCCCTTCCTGCAGCCGGGGGCAATGCTGACTCTCCATCCCATGGTGCTGCTACCACTAAATACCCAATTTTTTGGGAGTTGGTCACAGCATCTCCCTCTGTCCAACTCAAGGAGCTGTATTTCACTAACTCACCCCCCGCTGCTGCTTCGTCCCCTCTCATCGCTCTGCAGAACGGTCTCACCGTGGTCCTGGGGTGGGGTAGATGCGGTTTCATCCCCTCAGCCCCTACAGGAGGCTGAGCCTGGATGCAGGGCAGATCCCTCTTAGGTCCCTTGAAAAGGCTCAGGGGTTGCTCTCAGCAGTAGATGTTGGTCTTTTCCAGGGTCAGATTAAGGGGAGAGAAGCAGTTTGCAAACACATTCCCCCCTTCCCCCCCTCCCCAGCCCTCATCTTCTCCTCTCAGGCTGTCCTGGACTTGTGGGGGAAGATGAGTTTTGCAGAGAGGAGACCACTCTGGGGGGCGCAGCGTGGGGAGGGGCAGGCGATGGGGTTGTTGTCCCGTTGTGACGTGACCTGATGTGCCCTTGGCATCTCTGCTCCCCGCAGTCCGCCGACTCCGACCTGCCGTACCCCCCGCCCCAGCGGGAGCCCAACATTTACATGGTGCCCCAAGGAATCAAACCCGTCCTGCAGCGCACGGCCATCGAGGTGAGGGATGGGGAGCGCGTGAGGCTGCTCGCCTCCTCGCGGAATCACACCCGGAACGTGTGTCCCTAACGGGGGGGGTGAGGCTCAGAAATGGGATCCAAGGCAGACTCTGTGGATGCAGAGTCCCACCAGTGCTGGGAGCAGGTTCTGCTCATGGGTTATCTGCCAAAATCTGTTAACTTGCTGGGAAAACATTCTCACCAAGCAGTTGAGTTCTAGGGCAGAGCACAGCCCTGGACCACGCTTGGTTTTTAGGACAATCTCCCTCACACCAGGATGATATTTGCCCAAACCAGAGATGCTCCATTAATAGATAAGCAGTTGTGGACCTGGTGTATTGGTGCATACAGAGAAATGTTTGCTGTACGACCTGGCTTCTCCCAGCCCCGGCTGTCCCACATGGTTGATTCATCTCTCCTTCATGGTGGGCCAACACTCAGGTTTACCTCCCTTGCTTAGAAGCTCAGTGAGACGCCTGGAGGCAGACCTCTGGCTCAGTCTTTGCTGTCTGTTCCCCTCACCCTTCAGATCCTGGCCTGGGGGCTGAGGAACCTCAAGAGCTACCAGCTGGCCAGTGTCACCTCGCCCAGCCTGCTGGTAGAGTGTGGGGGCCAGCTCGTGCAGTCCTGTGTCATCAAGAACGTCAAGAAGAACCCCAACTTTGACATCTGCGTGCTCTTCATGGAAGTGGTGAGGACCTGGTCCCCACCCTGCAGCGATGGGGTCATAGCAGAACTGGGTGGGAAGGACCTCCGCAGGTCCCGTAAAAAAATCCATCTCATGGTGAAGCTAATTCTGTTCTGCTTAGCCTCGGTTTCCTCTGGGGGGTGCAGAGCAGCTGCCCTGCGTGGTTACGTGGTCCCTCCCCTCTGCCCACAGCGTTTACCCAAGGAGAGCCTGTACAGCCCCCCCATCATCGTCAAAATCATCGACAACAGGCCGTTTGGCCGAAGGCCCGTGGTGGGGCAGTGCACCATCCGCTCGCTGGAGGATTTCTACTGTGACCCCTACCAAGAGGAGATGGACGGTCCCCAGGAGCACTCGGGTACGTGCTGCCACGGAGGAGCTGTGGGTGGCTCTGTGCGTCGCTTTTAGCTCACCCCAGCTGTAGGTCTGGCACAAAAAGCCCAGGAGGTGCCAAGGAGGAGTCCAGCTCTGGGGTTGGTTGGTGAGATGGGTTGTCCCTTGGCCAAGCTGTTCAACCCCCATGAACATGAGCTTTGGCTGGTGTGAAGGCTCTGGGCAAGGTTGAGATTGGTCCTGGAGGTTGATCCCAAGGTGGTTTGGCTTTGGGGTTTCTGACAGCTGGATGTCCCGGTCATGCTCCTGCTTGCTCTGGTTGCAGACGATGTGAGCCTCACGCCCAGGGACGACGTCCTCATTGACATCGATGACAAAGAGCCTCTTATTCCTGTCCAGGTAGGGAAAAAATATCCCTTGTTTCTTACTTTGTGTGACATGGGGGAACATGTGCGGGTACAGGGCAGGGGTAGAGAGCAATGCAGATGTGGGGTCACGTCTGGTTGTACCCTTCCTTTCGCAGCTTCCACCTCTGTTTTCACCCCCAATCCTCCACCACACCACAAGGAACAACCACAAACCCACCCTTCTCCCCCATGTTTAATATGAGGTGTTGGATTTGCTTTTCGGGGCAGGGGGAGGACCCAGACTCTCCCCACGCGAGGCTCTTCCCTTCAGCGTCTCTTCCTCAGACGTGTGGTTTGGGGTGAGACCAAAGCTCTGTGGCCACCCCCGTAGGGCTGCGCTGTGCGGGATGCTCTCTGGGAATGACAAGAGCTGACAGCCTTGAGGGGCCTCACCCCAGCACCACAGAGGGTGGGCTGGTGCTGGCAGATGGGACGGTTCGCCCGAGGCCACACCGAAGCGGAGGTTCCCCGTGGCTCAGTTGCCCACAACCACGCGGCCAGGTCTCCTTTCCCCGGGTTTCTCTTTGTTTGCAGGATGCTCTGCTGCTCCCAGACCCACTGGCTGCTTTCAGCAGCTCCGGTTTCTCTGCAGAGGGTCACGGCGGGGACCCTGATTGCAGAATATCCCCTGCGGGCTTTAGCAGGGAGGGAGGGATGTGCTGCTGCTGTGGCAGGGAGCAACCTCATCGGTGCCATGAGTTTGAGGGGACTCAGCTGTCCCTCGTAGGTGGGTCAGGCCACACTGGTGACACTGGCCCTGCTGGCGCTTCACATTTCTATAAGCCCTCGGGTTTCTTCGCCAGCAGATGTGTCCTCTCCGAGGCAGAGACCTGCCGGTGCTGACGTGTGCGTGTGTGATGCACAAGTCCGTGGGTGAGCCTGACTGCTCGGGGGCAGCTGGAAGTGTTGTCAGAGGCATTCGGTGGAGCTTTTCACGGTCCCCTGTTCCCTTTGGTGTATTTAATGCGCTGGCATTTCCTTCCTCCCTGTTTTAAAGGTTGTGGGTGCTGCGTGGCACCCCGGGCTAGAAAAGCCTGAGCTGTCTGTAAGAGCTCTGCCCCTCAGGTAAGCCTCTTGCCTTGTCTTTCACTGCCCATAAAAGCAAGATGGAGCATTTGGGCATCGATGCCTCAGCTCTTCATTCATCTCCATGGTGGACCCTCAGTGTTTCAGTTCACGAGGACTTTACAATCCACAGATCCATGCGGTCAGATATCTGCGGTCGTGTCCCAGGGTGGGCTCAGACTGGGTTCCCAGTACCGGGCTGTCCCCGGAGATTCAGAGCTGGAGCTGCGCCTCTCTCCTTGCTAGACTGTCTGCTTTGGGTTTGGGCCGTGCAAGCCCTCCCTGCAGCTGAGCAGGCATCGCTTGAGCAGGAGTGTGCCTTGCATGCTGCAACCTCTGCCCCGTTCAAGGCTTTCAGGCTTTGGATTAAGGAAAAAAAAAATTAAAAAAAATCAAGATTTTGTCCATCACTCAGCAAAAGCTGTGGGTGTGGGACTCCAGCCTGTTGTGGTCTTGCCTGCAGCTGGCCCTGCTCATGCCTACCTATCCCAAGCACTGATGAGATCCAGGTTGGTGCCCTCAGGCAAGGTCACCCGTGGTCCCTGCAGCGAGAGCTGGCTTTGGGGTTCCCCACGAGGAGGGACGTTGGGATGCTCAGCTTCCTGGGACGCTGGCGGCTTGTCCCAAGGTGCCTCAGTATCAATTAGGAACCGGACAGTGGAGTTTAAAAATATTGGCCCAAGTGAAATAGTGTCGTCGAAAGGAGAAAAGCAGCTCCAGACAGAAAATATTACTGACAACCTAATCGGCTTTCTGTTTGCTTGCCATCTGCGGATTTGTCTTAATAATTTACAATTGTGCTTCATCTTGTATCAGTAAAGTAACTGGAGCATGTCTGTACAAAACACACCAAAATGAGCCTTGGAACAGGAACCTTCACTTCTGCAAATAAAAAAAAAAATCCCCTTTTTCTAGCCTAGTTCAGAAAACACTCGGGAGAAAAGTGAGGGGACAATGTGCGTAGGAGGGCTGGGGTGCAGGTCATGCCTTCATCTCTGATTTATCTCATGATGCTTCTGTGCATCTCACGTCCCTTTGCTGCAAGACCCTCTGCAGAGACAGTGGGCTAAGACCCCCCAACAGGGGTTTTGCTGGCCCCCTCCTGACCCACGGCCACAGATGGGGCAGCGATGGGTGGCCTGGTTTGGCATCTGCAACACCAGCAAGCTGCGACGGGATCATTTCTTATTTTTTTAAAAGAAAAAATCTACCCGAAATTCAAATTAGTTTGACTAATTTTTTTTTGACATATACAGACATCTACAGTTTAGATTCTCCCCCTTTATTTATTTATTGATTTTTGGGGGGTCAGTTTTCAGTCAGAAGGGTGTTGTGTAGCAAAACAACAACCTGCAGCACTTCCAGTGTGCAAAACTGCTCTTGGAGGGCATCAGAACGACCTCCCCCACGCTGGTCCTCTGCTGCCTTTTTCTGATGGCAAAACTGTTTGTTAAAGGCAACTGATTTCGTAAAACATTTCCTTTCCTCTGACCTCCATCTGCCAGCATCTTTCCCACCCCTGATTTTTCTGTGCCTTCAGCAGGGTCCAGACCCGCAGTCGCTCCTGCTTCTTGTCCCGTGACTTTGGTGGAGAAAACAAGAGGCAAATGCAATTCCCTCTGGGAACGCAGTGTTTTGACCCAAATTTGCTTTCTTGCTGGGAGTCTGGGCGGCCCTGGCTGGGCGATGCAGGGCGCTTTCAGCCCGGGTCACTAACTACCCTTTTACTCTGATTAATAGAAATTCCCCTGCTTTGTATTAACCCGGTGGCTCCTTTTTTGAGGGAGGTGAGGGGAGGAAAGATTCCTCCCATAAATATCCTTTATGAGAGCCGCAGGCGAAGGCTCCGCTGGGTGCAGTGAGGGGGCTGCGGCCACCATGGGACCTTGGCTCGGGGCTGGTGTGGGGTCAGGGTCCTCTGAACCGGTGCTGAAGGTGCCTGGCCAAGGTTCTCTTGGATGTTCATGCTCTACGGGGCTGGTGGGGCTCCCAGTTTGCACCATTTCCTCTGGTTTTGCTGTACAGGCAGGATGGAGGGAGCACCCTGGGGTGCCCCCACCCTGTGGTGCAGGTTGGGGGGGCTCCCTGCCTGGCCTCTGCCTGTGCCCACTGTTGCTTGAAGGGCTCTGATCAGATCGCCATGTCTTTTTAATCAAAAGGCTGCTTCTTTTACAGATTTTTTTTTCTTTTCCTTGGGCACTTTGTAACGGTGAAAAAACAAGACCGTTTTTCATGTTAGTTTTGCAGAACTTCATTCACTTTCAGTGTTCCCCCTCGGGACCCATCCACCAGTTCCCTCTTTTCCCCAGGTTTTGTTGCACCTGGAGGTGAGGGCAAGGCAAGAAAGAGAAACCCAGGGCTCTTCTTCTTACATTTGCACTCCAAAAAATGGCAGCATTTCAAATTTCTTTTGGCTTCCACCTTTTTTACTGCAGTTAGTTTGGAAAAGAAAATGAAAAATTGTCCTTCGAAGCTTTTTTTTTTTTTTTTTTTTTCCCCCCATCTTTTGACCAGCGTTAACTGTGAAAATGCTCGTTGCTGGCATGGGGTGTGCAAGGCAGAGATCATAGGTGCTGGGTAGATGTGCGGGCACCTGCATTTTAGGAACCTCCATCAGTGCTGAGGTGGTGTTTTGGCACCGTCTATCGCTGGGCAACCTCTTAGAGATGCTGGCCCAGAGGTGAAGGCAGCTGGGCAGGGGGGTTGGGTAGTTTGGGAGGCAGAGCAGGATCGTGGTGTGCAGGGAACTCTTGCACACGCAGCTCAGCGCTGTGTTAGGTGTTGGTCACGTCTGTGGAGTGGTCAGAGGTGGCAGAAGGTCACGGGAGAGGTGGGAGGAGAGGGGCAGCCTGCTTCTCCTCCGAGCCTGTCTCAAAACCTGCTCCTCATTAGGCTAATTTGGAGCGAGGCCGAAGGCTCTGTTACTGTGTGTACGCAGTGCCCTGGCACGGTGGGGCTGTTTAAATTGCAAACAAGAATTAATCCCCTCCTCAGATGTGGTGGTGCGTCGTGGGGAAAGCCTTGCTTCGCGAGCCACACCCCGTCACCACAGGCGCCACAGGATCTGGCCCTGCTCCCCCATCCCCTCCCTCCCTCCCACCCTGCGCAGCTCCAGGCAGGAGCAGGGTGAGGGAGAGCCACACCGAGGGCCAAGGGGACCCGTTTCAGCTGCCTGCGCTCACTCAGGGCCGGGCTGGTGGATTCCCTGTGGGCAGGTTGTGATGGGAAGAAGGAAAGTAGCAGTGCCTGACCCTCCTCCAGCTCCCAGCCTTTCCAAAGCTTTGCTCCGGACGCTCTTGTCCAAACACACGTTCTGCTCATTACCAGTTTTTCAGGTCAGTGCAATATCTGAATACCCCGGCAGGAGCTGCAGGTACTTCTGATGACGTGCCAGATGCAGATCTGTCTATCTTTTGTCTGAATTATACCCCACCTATCCCCCTTCTTCAGAAATTTGTGTGCTTTCTACCCAAATTCATGGAAAAACGCTCTTTCCCTGGCTCTGAGGTTCTTCCTCGAGACTTTGGGGTGCTCCTTGTCCCGATGGAGACCTGTACACCACGAGGGGTACGTGGATCAATGCTTCATCTTTGGTACAGCTGGCTCTCCATGACTTGCTTGGAAAATCAGGCCCGCGGTCATGTCCACAGCAGGCTGGGATCCATCCCAGGAACCTCGTGCGCCCCCAGCCCCAGGGATGTGACTCTGCTAGAGTTAGAGCTCTGCAACCCGGAGATGGCCCTTGGTGGCCCTGGTGGCCAGGCTCTCTCCTGGCAGGAGGAAATGAGGTTTCCTACTGACCTGGAGGCAAAAGAAGCATTTTTGGAAGGTGATAATTAGAAAATGGGGCCCCTGTCAGGGAACAGAGGGTTGTTGGCAGCCAGAGCCTCAGTGTTTCTCTGCCACCGCTTCCGGGTGGAGGACCTGTCACCACCCTGGAGACGCTGCAGAGCAAGGAGAGCAGTTACTGGGTTTGGGGCTGCAGGTGGGGGAAGACGCATCTTCCTGCAGCAGCATTGGTCCCTCTCTCGGTGCTGCTGGAATCGTGGGCACGGAGCATCCTGGGCTGAGGCCCGTTGGGGAGGGAGCCGCGGTCCTGGCTGGTGCTGGTTTGGAGAAGTTGGTGACAGCTGATCCTCTGCGAGATCCCCAAGGCTTGTCCCATGGGCTGCCTGTTCAAAAGCGCTCCCTGAGCGTTGCCTGCAGGTGATCCTCGGTTTCTTTTCCTTCTTGATACTTGCTTCTGGGGCAGCTTTTGGCTGGGATGTGCAGAAGTAGGGCTGTCTGTAAGGAAACGCACCTCCCTGGCTGCAGACCTCATCCATAGGGCACTCAGGCTTGGTCCAACTATTAGCAAAACATTCAGGAAGGCATTTATGGGCAGTGGGAACAGAGGACGAAGGTGAAAACCTTCCGGCCTCTGACGGTGCCTGTGAGGAAGAGGAGGGTTGTGGCAATGAGTGGTGGAGGTGAAGGTGAAGGGAGGCACCTCCGGGGTCCCTCAGCCTTAGGTTGCAGAGTGAAGTGAGGTGAGCTTTTGCTCATGTTTGACTTTCCTTTAAGCAAAATAAATGACACCACATGTTGAATTAAGTAATTTTTATTTATTTTAAAACATCCAGCAAAGGTCAGAAAAATATTTCCCTAGCAGTGTCCTCAGACCTGAAGGCAGGGCCTTCTTCCCCAAAAATAGTTGCGGGCAACAAGTTATGAGCTGTGTTTCCTGCGATGCTCGAGCCGCTCAGCTCTTTGTCCCCAGGGAAACACGGCGCTCGAGGAGCTCTGCCTCTCCCAGACCTCACAGGGACTTCGTCATGATGTTACCAAACCTGCTCAGCTCAGCCTTTTGGGGCACACACACACTTTTAGGCAGGTGTAGACCGCGTTCACTGCTCGGGGCGGGGGGCAGCCGTGGTGGACCGACCCCCCTGCAGAGGTCCCAAAGGAAGGAGTGAGACAGAGAACCCCCCCCCCTGCGATACTTTGTTCCCTGGGGCAGTTTAAAACCTACTGAAAGCATCTGCAAACTCAGAGCAAACTTGGGGAACAGTCTAAATGGGTGGTGAAAGGACAAGAAGGGGGAGAGGGACGTTTCAAAAGCCAAAACACTTCGCTGCAGCAGTTTTAAAGTGGAAGACTTTGACGTTTCTTTACTGAAACAAACATTTCGCAAACAAAACACCCGGCAATGAATTGAGTTATTCAGTCCGACCTCAGATTAATTCTTCTGTTTCTTTGTTTGTCTTTCACTTTTGCCCTTTGTTTGGGGAGCACAGGGGGGAGGGAGCTTGTTCATGGAGAGCCAAACCAAAATTCCCACCATCTCCCTCCCTAATCTCTCAGTTTTGGCCCTGAATGCTGTTCCTCCCATGCCCACCCTCTCCTGGTGGCAGACATGGGGTTGAGGGGACATTTTCTGACACCCCGCAGCCATCAGGGTCCCTCCAACCCGCTCTGCTCCCTTCTGGGGCCAGGTTTGGGGGGTGAAGGAGGAGTCCCAGTGTGCAGAGTCCCTCCTACCCCTTCTCCCGGGGAAAGGCGAGGGATCCCAGGCCAGGAGCTCCTGCCTGCGGCCGCAGACTCCGTACCACTTGCTCTTCCCGTGGTGACCTTGGAAGCAGGAGCCAGGATTGTTCCTGCCCGTGCATGTGTGCATGGGTGTGTTTCATTGTGTGGCTCCAAAGCCTTTCTCCCTCCTTGCCAAGCCTGGCTTTGGTCCCTCCTCTGATGGATGACTGGAACAAAGGATCACTTTGTTGTCCTCATCTGAAATAGAGAAAACAAACAGACGCGAAACCCCCGCGCTCTGAGGTTGCTGAGCGTGTTGTCCATCTTGTACGAGTGGGGTGAGAAGTTCAGCCCGAGGCCTGTTTAAAACAAGTCTTACGTGCACACGAACTGGAAACATCGTGGTTACTGAGTGCGAGGAAAGAAGCTCCTAAAACTCATAGAAAAGCAATTTTTCTGCAGCAAGGTCTCCTTGGTTTGCTTCTCTGGGAGATGCACCCGGAGTAGGGATTTTCAGGGGGTGAGCACATGCGAGTGGCTGCTGGCTCAGCCCTTATCCCTGCCCACTCTGCCCCCACAGCCTCCTTTGTTCTCCGCACTCTTTCCTGGGTCCTCAATCCCACGGGAAGCAGATGGGAAGGACAACCCTGAGGCCCAACTGCAGCCCCAAGGGATGAGCAGATATTTGTTCCTTCTGCTTGTTGGTAAAACAGTCACAGAGGAGCCGTGTCCCGCTACCCGCCCAGAGCTGCAGGGGTGTCCCAGCGGGAACTGAGCCTGGGGAATCCTCCCCCCATGAGGCAGCTGTAAATTCGGGGTTTTCAGCTTGACCCGAGGTCTGAAGCAGGTCTGGTTCCGTGGCTCAAAAGCAGCATGTTCAGGGCCCAGCCCGAGCTGGCGAGCAGGGGGAGCTCTGTCAGGCTTGGCCTGATGCTCAAACCCAGCTGTTTTCTGGTGAGAACATCTCATTTCTCCCCCTTCTCCATCTCGGAGGAAACACCTTGCGAGGCAGAAGCAGAGCTGCCGCTTGCTGCCCAGGGCAGGGGTAGGTGACGGCAGCTCTTGGTTTGCCAAGGACAAGCTGCGCTTGTGCTCGGCGTTTCGTTTGGACCAGACCTTGGTCCCAAGCTCTCCTAATCCCTTTCTGTCAAAACCACCCCGGGTCAGATCCCTCCCTGGCTCCTGCGACCAACTTGACCCGCGGCGTTTGCAAGCGCCCAGTGTCCACAGGAGATCCCGCCCCACGCTGGGAAATGTTAACAGCTTTTCTGTAACGTGGATTTTTGCTGCGGTTTCCCTTTCATACCCCATTTATTCTCCACGACCATTCAAACCCATTGGACGAACATCAGTGAAAACCCAAACCCTGCTCTCGCACTCCCCTTGTCTGGGAAGACCTCACCCTGATAACCCAGGGGAGGGGGAAGGTGGCACTCTTCGGGTTCATTCGTTTTATTTCTCCTAAATTGTGCTTTTGCTGATGTATGTTAAACATTGTTTCTCTAACCCCATTGATAACCAATCATTTTAATTTGTAGCTTGCAGAGGGTATGACCAGCTCAGCATTAATTAACATACCAGCTTCTCGGGCCCAGCCTCATGTATGTATTGCTTAATTTCTAACTTACTTGCGTGATTAATGGGTTTTGTGAATGATAGATATGCATGTATATATATATATATATATATATTGAGATCTGCAAATGTGCATGTATATATATATATATATATATATATTGAGATCTGCAAAAAGGGGGGCATTTCTTGTTGTGGAAGATCCCCCTGCTGTCCTAGAAAAATGGAAATTTCACCTCACTACGGGTGTGTGAGCACTTCAGTGATCGTTTTCCTTTGTGCCAAAGAAATGAAGGTTTGTTTTGGGGGGAGGGATGAGGAAGCTTCCTCCCCCTTGCCCTTGCAGAGCCGGCAGAATTACGTACGTGCTCAAGGTTAGGTGTCTCCCCGACAGCTTCTGGCTCCTCTGTGCACCCCGGCAGAGCCTGGTACTCATTGGAGATGGTGTGTCCTGGGTGGCTGCAGTGGCCTAATTAAGGGTTTGATGGACTTCAGTGTTCCTCTGTGTCCTGGCTCAGGGACTGTGACAAGTCCTAGGCATCGTCTTGCTCCGGGTTGAACTGAGGAGGTGTTGACCTTCCACGAGGAGAAGGGTTTCACCCCAGGGAAGGTTTCACCTCATCAGCAGGACTTTTGCACAGCCCTGGGTTTTGCAGGCATACAGCCTGGTGCCCTCAAAGCATGGGGATGAGGGAGGTGCCCAAGCAGTGACAGATCCCTCCTCACAAAGTGTCTCCTGATCCCTTTGTGCACTTTTAATAAGAAAATCAGATGTTTGGGACGTTCCTGGCTTTTCTAAGAAGGGCAGTGAATCTGCTTTCCCTTCTGAGGACACTCCAGAGGAGTAATTCTCCATTCCCCAAATTCAGGGTTGTGACCCTGGGGCTCTTCACCCCTCTTAGATCCCTCTTGATACCAGCCCGTGAGTTACAGGACAGTTCCTGCTGGGAGCCGTGCACGTCCCTCCTGCCTGTTTCAGGCCGCAATTAGTTGTGTTGCTTCCCACTTCTTCTCTGCAATAAACAGTCAAACCCAGAGCGGTGCCCGTGTGCTTCACCCCTGGGGTGTAAACACCACTGGGTCAGCCCAGCATTTTGGAAGAAGGTCAGCTTGAAGGTGTTATTTATACTGTGCCTTTGGGAGGAACGGTCTCCCTTCGAGGTCTGATCATGCGGGATGGAAGGGAGGATAAATTTGGCTTTCATTGCTGAAAACAGCGTAAAAATTGATCAAGCAGAGCACATGAGTAAGAGATGGGTTGCAGCTTCATGGCAGCTGTAAATTTTGCACGCAGGAGCCCCTGATGGAGGTCTTGGCATAGGGTTGGAGGCACACTCAACGTCCAGCCTTTCTCTCTGTAACATAGATACGAGCTTTGTTGGCCCTACGCGCATCCCTCCAGTTCCCCGTTTATCCTCTGTACCCACATCATATCGATCACTGGTGCGGCTTCCCCTGTCGCCCAGAGAAGACAGATGGGTGGCTGCGCTGGGATGCGGAGTATGGAAACAAAAGCTCCATAAATAGCCTTCCTCTTCCCTCTGTTCATCAGCATTTTTAATTTACGTGAATATGTTTTGTTTTAGTTCAAATAAAATTTAGGGGGGGGTGAAAAAAAAAAGAGAAAAAAGCTGCAAACCATTAATTTAAAATAAAAGGAACAGAATATTAGACAGTAATAAAGCCATTCTCCTGGCCCTCACCAGGACCCTACAAGAATGTGATTAAATGTAATAAACCTCACGTCGCAGAGAGCTGCTGACGCCTCCCGGGGGAAACCATCCTGTTTTGGAAGGGAGGTCACCGGGATGGCCCGTGCATGTCTTCCTTCCCTTCCTTCTCCTTTATAGCTGTGGAGCTTCGCACGAAAGCAGGAGCTGTGGAATGAGGCATAGGGGCTGCAGCTGGTTAAATATTAGGAAAAAAAGCTTTTACAGCCAAAAATATCCAGCCCGGTGTGGAGTGTGTGAGGGAGCTCCTGAACTCCGCTGGGTTCTGCCTCCGACTGTGGCGTTAATGACCTGGAGGAAGGGGCATGTGGTGGGAGACTCTGGGCTTGCCCCTCACGGAGACTTGAGCTTGTAGATTTGCCCATCTCCTCGGTGGACTCCACAAGAGGGTTTTTTTATTTTTTTTCCCCTTCATCTGGAACTTGTGGGGTTTTCTGCCTCCCCAGTAGCGTGACCTCTGTGTGCTGAGAAAACCTCGAAAACCCCCCGAACTACAAAGAGCTCTGGAAAGTGGGGCAGGGATTGCTGGGGGGACGTGGGGAGCCATTGAGGAGGGCGATGGGCGTCACCTCTGCTCCCTGTGGCACCAATCCCCTACCCCCAGCCGGGGGGTAAAGGCTGGGGAGAAGTGAAGGTGTGGTGGGGAGGTCAGGTCAGGGTGGCCAGAGCTGATGCTTCAGGCTCCGTCTGGAGCCTGCACAAACCCAAGCCCTTAATATGCAATTGTTTATAACCTAGTTCATAAACCCATCCTAATCTGGCCTCTCTTCACACTCCTCTGGTTCTGCTCTTGCCAAAGTCATCCCAGACAAAGTCAGGAGTTGGCCTTTCGTCCCTCTCTTGTCCCTGCTGATAATCTTTGGCACGAGCAAAATCAGATGATTTTGCAGCTCCGATGTCTCGTAGACCCACCTCTCTGCTCCAGATCTGTCCCCTTCCCACCATGCGGAAATCCTGGCTCATCCCTCAGCAGTTCAAGTGATTCAACCATGTTCAAAGGGTGAAAGAGATCCTCAAGACCTCTTAAAATGTCAAAACAAGCTCTTTCATGAGCCATTTCCCCCTCCCTGCTTGGGAGAAGCACTCTGTAATTATCCACCCAATCCCCTCTGAAATTATCCACGGGATCCATTCTTTGTTGTCCTGTAAATCCCCTTTTTTAAACTGTCAAACCATCCTGAGAGCCCCACCTGGGCTTGGCCGTGTCCCCTCGAAGCTCTCCGAGGATGGAGGTGCTGTCACCCTCCGTGTCTCTGCCATGGGGCCCATCAGAGCCGACCCGAGAGTGCTCAGGATGAGACCCTGGTGACCCTAAGGGTCTTAATTTGTGAAAGTGCAGGGGACTGCAAGACAGAGGAGAGCCCATAGAGGTGGTCAGCAGAAGGTGCCGTACACCTCTTGCTAGGATCAAAGCCTGCATCTGGGCAGCTGGATCATGACCAAAGCTCAAGGAGATGCACTAGAGGTGCCACCGCCAGAGCTGCTCACACCAGGATCCCTTCACAAACAAGGGACTGTAAAACTCTCTGTGCCTTTGGCCTGGTTTTGGTACCTGCCTTAAGAGCAGTATTTAAATGGAAACTGTTTGGGGCAGTTTTCCATCCTTCCCCTTTCCTACAGAGCACAGCACGACAGGATCCCAACGCTGAGGGGGATTACTGCATGCCAGGGTAGTATTAGTGATAAATTGTTATTGATTTGTTGTTCAGGGCAAGAGGAAAATGCGGAAATGCTTCAGAAGAATCAGAATGTTTAAAACGTCAACAGATATAGCTGGGAATTACCAGAAAGCTGCTTGTGCGAGCAAAGAATAAGGGCGGTGTATTCGGGGAGGATACGCTGCGTTTTGCAAAGCACCTGTGTGCCACCAAGAGGCTTCGAGGGCCCTAATCAATCCCCTTCGGCAGGGTGTTCTCGCCCCTGTGCCCCCCACCCTGCTCAGCATCCACAGGGCACACAGGCTCCTCCTCCTGAGAAGTACAAATCTGCTTCCGAGCCCTGATGAGTGAAAATGGGGGGGTCAGCGTGAAGGCCCTGACATGGGTGGGAGTGGAGGGACGCAGGTTTCCAGGAGAGCTGTCCCTTTGCGGAGTGGTTAATGCCCACACAGACCCTACATTCCCAGCTGTGAAATGGGCTGGCAAGATCTCCTCTCCGCCAGCTTTAGCTTGTCGGAGCAGTAGCAGAAGTCAGGAGGTTCCTGGGCATCTCCAGAGGAGAGGAACTCACGAGGAGCCCTCAGACACCTCCGAGCTGTGAAACGGCAGCGAGGAGCTGCCGTTCTCCCCCGAGAAGCACTATAAGGTGCCTTCCATGCAGCTATTCAGACCATTATTTTGGCTTGCGACGCTTTGGTTGTAAGAAATACAAATAACCCATCAAATGACAAGTTAGCAAAGCTAACCCAAGCCAAAACCAAAAAAAAAAAAAAAGTCAGAATCTGTAAACTATTTGGAATAATTGGTTATTTGCTGTGTTTGCTAGTTCCAAATCAGAGCACATATTTTACGGCTTATCCTGTTACCGTTAGTTGGAAGAGCTCTTGGTGTTGGATATCTCCTGCTGAAAACGGTCGCCAACCCGCTCTGCAGCCCGGTGTAGCCCCCCGGCACGTTCTTGCTGGTTTTTATTTATTTATTTATTTATTTATTTATTTATTTATTTCTCCTGGTGTTTCTTGCACACTCGGGGGATGGACCACGGCACTGCTGGGGGAAAGACCCGCAGACCAATCTGCATGACGAGCTGGCTTTCCACCAGCCGGGGTTGCAGGGCAAAGCATCCCCAAATAGAAGCCATGGGACAGAGAAAAAGCGGTGGCAGGATGGTGTGCGGGTGGCTGCCTTCGGGTGAACGTGGCTAAATGTAGGCTGATGGAACAGCATGGAAAAAAAAACCCACTGAAAACAAAGAGTTTTGTCCACTTCTGAGCAAAATTAATAGTATGGTGAGGAAAAAAAAAAAAAAAAGAAAGAGGTGAAACAGCCATCAATGTCTAATTTCTCGTTATGAACATCTGACAGTTCACACCTTGGGGGTTCATGGAAGGATGAGCAAAGTCCTCTTGCAGCCTCCCTGTGTGGGAGCCTGGGGGTTTTTTCTCCTCCCTCCAGCCCTGCTCAGAGCTGCTGCAGGCCCTTGGCGCAGGGAAGCAGGTGGAAGGACCAGGTTAAGCCAGGGTTAACCTGAGGCCAAGTCCCCCTTAGGGAAGCAGTTGGAGTTTAAGGGCGCGGGGAGGTTGATAACACGGAAAAACCTTCCTCCATCTCCTGAGGTCTGGCAGGTGCCAGGTCCCACGCCCCGTTGGTGCCACCTCCACCGCCCTGTCTTGGCCTCCCAGCAGGAAAATCTGATTTTTCCTGCCTCCCAGGCACTTTTGCAACTGCTCCTGGGCTGCGTTTGTAGGTGACGGAGCCCCTCGGGCAGCAGAGGCCTCCCTGGCGTGGGGAGAGCTGGCCCCTTGCTTGGGCGCAGGGTGGCCGGTGGCCTGGCCGTGGCCGTTCCATTGCAGAACCATCGCGAGGCTCCGTCCCGCAGCCCCGAGCCGCCCGGTTTCCTGCCCGGGCGTGCCGACCTCTGGAGCGATGCGAGACGGAGCAGCCGAGGGATTTAGGATGTGGTCAGAAAAACCCCAAGGAGCGCAGCTGCAGCGTTTAAAGGCATTTTTGTGTTCCCCAGCTGTTTGCCATGGCCTCTCCGCTGGAGTTTTCTGCGCCCGCAGGAGGACAGGGCTGGGCTGGGTTAGTTCAGTCGAGCTGACCGGGCTGCCTTTGGGAGCTAACACCACCCTCGCCAAGGGCTGAGATGGACGGTGTCATCTCCTGCAAAAGCATGGTGACAAACAGCTGGGGAGCTGCATCTATAAATGTCCCGGCTGCTTCTAGAAAGATCTTCTCACCCCAGCTGCAGAGCTTCCTCACAGCAGGAAATCTGCCTCCCAGATGTGAGGTGCGAGTGCATTTGAGACTGAGGCAGTGGCTGAGCTTATTTAGAGGCAGCGTTTATTATTGCTATAATTATCTATATTCCCACAGGGAGTAGCGTGTAATCAGCAGGAGAGCGAGTATTAAGGCTTCAGTTGGCTCATGCCTGCTCTGCTCTCCTGGCTTTGCTGTCTGGGCATTAACCTCTCCCTGCCTCAGTTTCCCCCACCTGTGAGGTGATGATGCTAAGGACTAAGTGTCACCAGGAGCCACTGTGTCCATTGCGTGGCAGCTTCTCGGGTTTCCACACCTCCTTTTGCTCCAGACTGAAATGGCCATTTCAACATGTTTTGTGAAAATTTGATTGTGCTGGCCAAGCCCAGACTCCCGCTATCCCCATCTGGGAAAGCATCTGATGGGACAGGCGGTGGGGAGAAAAATCGCTCTGGCTCAGCCTCCCTGACAAAACCGAGGTTAAATCTGGTGCGTTCGCCTCCGGGTGAAACAAAATGTGATTGAAAACATCCCGGGAGCGGTCAGGAGGACACAGGTCTGCATTCTGGGGTCCGGGGGAGGGAAGAATTTCAATAACCCTCACCAGCAGTGTGCGTGGCCCTGGGTGAAAGCCCTACGTGGAGAGCAGGCTCAGCTTAAACCTCCTTCCCTGTTGTCGGAAGGTGGTAAGTAAAGGGCGGCTGCTGGCTCTGCTGAACCCGAGGCCTGATCCAGAAAGCCCTTAAGGCTGCGTCTGAAGAGCCTCATTGACTTCAGAGGGATTTGCACACTCGATTGAAGTTAAGCATGTGTCTAAGTGCTTTTGCTGTGTCCAAGCCGTAATCCCAGAAATGTTTCAAGTGGGAAGTTGCAGCCCGCTGGTGAAATTCTGGTTTTAAAGGCGCTTTTAAAAAAAAAATAAAAAATTGGATTTCTTTATTTTTGGAAATGCCATGCTTTTGGCCATAAGACATTGCTCTCTTCTGGCATGCCCCCCTCCCTGGAAGGGCGTCTCCTGCTGCCCCTTTCCTGGATGCTCCCAGAGCTTCTGGAAAACTGATGAAGTGGTTCCACTCAGGCTCTTGCCTGGTGAAATGGTGCTGGACCCTCTTCCGTGGCTCCTGTGTTACATGTTGACCATTTTAGCAGAAAATGCCGAAGCTGGCCACCCTGGAGCTTAAAAGGTCTTGACTTCATGTCACCATGGAATGGGAGAGTTGTTCGCAGTCCTGACTCCAGACTTGGGGAACTCGGGATGCAGGCGCCAGCCCAGGTTTACGGTGGACCCTGCTCTATGGGAGCGATGGTCGCGAGGGAAGAGGGGGTGAACGGGGATGGGGAGACAGCAAATAACCCCGTCAGCGTCTGAGGGAGCTTCTCCCTAAGCTAAACTTCCAGGCTTCAGTCGCTTGATGTGATTTATCCACAAGTGATGCCGACCCGCGGGTGTGTGCCCTGCGGCGGCTGGGGAGGACACGCAGGATGCTGAGGCCCCTCAGCCACCATCTTCGTCAGGGCTCAGGGCGCAGACCCGACTCTGAGGACCCTCCTGTGCCATGTCCAAGATAAAACACTGACGGTGATTTGACTATCGCCTGGCTGCTAAGCGAGATCTCTCAATCCAGTCCCTTGCGTGGGGGGAGCCGTTGCGTTCCCATTCGCAAGCAAATGGATTAATACTGCTCGCTATTAACATTCCAGCTGCTCCCCTTGCCTCCTTTGGTTTTTTTTTCTCCCCCCCTCC